AAATGTTCTTAATTCATAAGATTTTAAGACAATTCTACCTTGGCTTTCTACTATCATAAAGAAACAAGACTGCAAATTCGTAAGACCTAGAATTATTTCTTTGGTGTGTTTTCCAAGAATACCACCTCCTGAGAAATAAACTCCCAGAAGACATGGCTTCTGGTATTTGTACAAATACTTGTGAGGTTTTATTTTTTTTTTTTCTTTTCAGAAGAAGACCACATCATGTTTTCTTAAGAATCTACATTTAACTGAGCCACACAAGATCTCTGTGAGAGAAAAGGCAAATAAACAGAATACAATGTCCCATTTCACAAATAGGAAGTTAAGCTAGAAATGAGACAAAAGAATCATTTCAAATCTTACCTTTTGCTTGTTGCAGAATTGTAGCTAATACAAGTTAGGTTTTGAATAATTTGGTAGCAAAACTGCTCTGATTCATGTAAATGTCATCTTGAAATATATTGATGTCAAAGTGAAAGGACAGTATGGTAATCTCATCATAATTATTGCATTTTTCTCAAGAGAAAAAGGAAAGTGTACAGATAATTCTGTTCATGCTAAAATTTAAATGTATTTAGTAGAATTATAGTTCATTAAAGAGATCCATGGGCCACTGTTCTGGAAGATTAGGATAGATCTATCAGTAAATCAAGGAAGAAAATCTGCAATAATTGCAGATTTCGTAGCCTATCTGTGTCTTAAAAATAGACAAAATAAGCAATTAATCTCATAGTAATAAACAAGTTAGCTTGTATATTAAAAGAAACATGGCTATGGAAAAATGAAGCTGAATAAGAGGGATCAGGATTGATGGAATGGCCAGGCTATCGGATATGTTAGTTTGGTCAAGGTCGGTGACATCAATGAATATCCAAAATGAAAAGAGAACAACAGCAGAAAAATTCCCACAGAGTGTCCTGAGGTGTTCACAGAACAGGATGGATGCCAGCGTAACTGAAGAGGTGTCTGCAAGCAGAGCGCTGTGTGAGATGAGGTCAAAGATGGAAGGCACAGAACTCAGGATTGTACAGACATCTAATGCAGGACTCACAGGGTGTGTGACTGCAGAGCTCTGAGCAGACAAATGGTATTATCTGACTTAAATTTTAGAAGAATCTACCCTTAATTATTAAATTCTTTAAAAATGCATAATCCAATATATTGTGTAACTTTTGCTGTGTGTCTTAATCTCAATATATCATCCTTTTCTCAGAATTAAATAGCACTATTCTCACTTTCCGAAGGAAAATAACAAAGACAGGTGAATAACTTTTCTAACTTACTGTTAAAATCTGACTTCTCTTTTATAAGTATATAAATATATATATTAAAATTATAAAAGGATTAAAGTAACACTTATAATTAATTATCTAATTAGCCATCAGTGAAGATGTTCATCTTAATGTATTATTACTGAATTGAATAGAAACCATTTTCTTATTAATTTCTGGAATATGACATAGATATATCTGAGCTTTCAATTTCAAGTGATATATGTACATTCGGATTAAGACTTCTAGATAGAGATCTGGTTAAACAACCTCCTGTAATTTCAACTCTGTTGATAATCTGACATCTCTGACCTGCAAGGACACCTGAATTCATGTGCACATGCACCCATTTGGAAATAGACATAAATACAAATAAAAAAACATATGTTGTGGTGTGAAAGTAATAATAATAATTTGAATTTTCAGGAGTCCATTTTTAAAATTTTCACAGGCTTTCATTTATCTTCATTTTCTAGTTGTCTATATACACATCATTTTGCTATATGAAACTGTAGTCATCATACTCAACACTTATCAAAAGAATTGTAATATAAAATGTATTTCAGAATTAATAAGTGTGCATCTAAAAATGCAGAATATTTAAATTTCCCACAAGTGCTGAGGACTAGAGCTGGTGTGTTAAACCTTCTGAGTAAAAGGCTCATTTTTCTCAGTGAGTCACAGTGTTTTCCTAAGCATTCCTACTAAAAGAGAAGCCAGGTACAAACATTCCCATTTTTTAAGTAGCAGGAACTTAAAAAAAAAAAAATCAACCACAGGGAAAAGGTCACTCTCAGTCAAAATGCAACTTATTGAGTTGAGGTGGGTTGGTAAAGGTGGGGGAAACTCCTCTTTTCTGAGGAATAGGGAGGAGGAAAGGTGGAAAGAAGGAGGGAGGGTAGGAGTAGGAGGAAAAAGGGAGAGGCTACGTTAGGTATGTAAAGTGAATAATAACTTAATTATTTTTAAAAATATCAACATTTTCTTTATGGCCACAATCTGCATATCAATGTCCAGATGAAATCACAGAGGATTTATGATATGACGTCCTTAGAATCTTATTAAGGTAACAAGAGGCAAATAAAAATGAGATAAATAATACAAGCTGATATGTAGTACATTCTATGTGAGCTATAGAAACAACTCTTATAGAAATTCAGCAGAGAGTTGAATCTCAGTATTTCAATTCAGTTAAGAAGGTCTGTACTGAAGACCACTAGTGTTGTAATGGTTTTCATGTTAAAAAAAAAAAAAGTTAAGCTTTCCATCAGCTGAAAAGAAGAATAAAAGTCATTCTAGTAACAGGAGATAGTATAGCCAAGGGCCAAAAGAGCAGATGGAAATGGATTGTCAAAAGAAAAGAGTAACATCTGAAGTGCAAGATAGATGGGAATTGACTTAACATGGAAAATGCATCCGAAGAAGCAGACTGGAGGAAACTTTGGGGGTTTTGTTGTTGTTGCTGTTGCTTGTTTGTTTTATTTTGTTTTCTGTTTGGTTGGTTGGTTGGTTTGCTTTTTTACTGTAGGACAGGAGGCAAAAATGGGATTTGCTGAAATATTACTGTGGAGCACGCCTTTGTGTACTTTATGTTGTTATGCAACACTCCTAATCAACTGGAGAGGTAGACAAAGGGCATCCACTTTTAACTGAAGGAAACAAGGATTCCCTGATCAGGCAGCTTTGTGGGCGGGGCATGGAGCAGAAGACCAATCTAGAAAGGCCAACCCATAGCCTATGCTCCTTTGAGTACTGTTAACACTATCTATCAAATTGGGAACTATCAAAGGAATGTGTCAAGACAAGAGAGTGCCGTGCATAAATCAGTGTCTTGATACTAAGAGGAATCAGAGCATGCCATATTCGTAGATGATCATTGTCAAGGGATTATGGAAAGAAAAGAAGTAAGGTAAGAAATGGCACAATACATTCCATTAAACCAAGTAACAAGACAATGGGGATCTATATTTAAATGTGATGAAATGGAATTTTTAATGTAAGAGATATACTGTTTTAAAAATTTAGAGACCATAGAAATATCCTGAGCCCCAAAATAGGTAGCTTCCCCTATCTACTCATACAATCCAATAACAAAGATTCTTTTTAAACTGAAAAAAAAAATGAAGTTCAAGGTCTAGCTTCAGTATTTTACAATTTATTTTGTATCAGGCAATTTATGTAAGAATATGTTTCTCTGTCTGAGATCAAAGAACTGCCATTTTTTAATCCATATCCTAAACCACCATCACAAAGTAGGACAGTTTTGTGTTAAGCTTGTTTCTCTGGTATGAGGAGGGTAATAGTTTACTGGCACATTTTGTAGCATGATTTTCAAGCTCTTATATCCCTACTAATTAGAACAGTATTAAGAAGAAACAATTTTCCATTTTATGTTTTCTGTTAGAAAATTAAGTGTTCTTTAAGTTGGTTCCTAAAAAATGATCTCTTGGAGATGCAAGTTGTTACTCTGTCATATTTGAAACATTGTTCTTCCCTGGGCCCTCTTTTAAATACTACTCAAGAATTCAAGTGAATATTAACAGTACTTAAATGGCATACTATTTAACAGGTTAAGTCAGTTTGACTCTTTTCCTACTACTGTCAAGATATTCTGTACAATTTTCAAAGATACATTTAAAATAAACAGCTTTCCATCTTTATCAAAATAATTACTAATATAAAAATCCACATGTTAAGTAAAATACAAGGTTTTGACACAGTCACATGTAGCTCAGGAAATCCCTGTGTAGTTAAGGAAGACTTTCAACCCTTGATCAGCTTACCTCTATGTCCCAAATGCTGAGACCACAGGTGTGTGTCACCGGACCCCACTTAATACAAATCGTAACCAGCAAAATCACAAAGTTGTTACTGCTGGAACAACCATATAACTGTGCTGATCATTACCTAGAATGGAATGTTCAACTAATCTGTCTTACTTTTGAATCAATTAAACATTTACCTAACTATGTGTACACAAACATTTATCACATGTAGTTTCATAGTTAACATTTTAAGTAACATCTATATATCTACAAATAGATAAATACTTAGCATTGTTACAACTCATGAGTAACAATATTTTGAGTAACAGTATTTTGGCTTGGGATATTTTTGTTAGTTTCATATCGATGCTACTTTCATCTAACTGTACTATCACTTAGCAATCTTGAAGGCTAATTAAAATTTAACACACTAGCAACCTCCAGCTTCCTTTAATTTTTTGGATTAAAAAAAGTTTTTACTTAAAAATTGTTGTTGAAGTTCGAAATTTAACTGTGTGACAACTTTGTAAAGTAGGATTTTCCCCACTGCATATTTAAATCATCTTCATGTCTCTTGTTATTGCGTATCTATACTGATCTGAAAATGGGGAACTATAAAAGTGGTAATGTAATAATCCTTGATGCTACACAGGCACAGCTGATGTATAATAATGATGCTCTTCTTGAAAAACAGGCCATTTCCAATTAGAAAACTATTCACACACACATACACATCTCCATATGAATGTGGACATTCTACACAATATATATTAAATATGTTAGGCATGTGCAAAAGGAAAGTAATAAGGTTTATTTTGTGTATCTTACTTTCCATTATCTAGGACTTCAAATACTTGACAATTTCTTAACGCACAAAATGTTTTAAAATAATAATGTTACCTTTAACCTATAAAGTCATTGTTCTTTTTGAAAGTTTAAAATAAAGGAGAACTATTTTTACCTCCCAGTCCTGGTCTAAGCCGATTATCATAACCATCCAGAAGTCTGTCTAGAATTCTTGTAAAGATGGTGATGTTATTTTTAGCCTCATCTTCTTGGATGTTAGCCAGTACCAACCTAAACAGATAATTTTACAAGTTGGTATATATTATATATGTATATACAGTATTTGGCTAAGTGCCACAATGCTCTTTTTCCTTCCTCTGAATTTAACTGAATTTAAGGCTCCTTCGGCCATTAGTGACACACAGTTCTCTCCTTTTTTCACTCTATAAATAGTACTAAAGTTATAGAGAATGTAAATATCCTGTTTTTTAAAAAAATGGATAGTAAATAGTAGGATATCAAAAGTTTAATGATAACACTTTGTGACATCTACCGCTTAGCACTATGAACGATAGTCTTAAAAAATATTCCTTAGAACACACCATGGTCACAGATTTTCACATGCAGACATTATCAGCAAGAGTGTTTGAAGTCGGATGGATGTAATAGCTACAGAGGCTTCTGAAGTGATTCTCCAGCATTGAGACTATTAATTGGAAATTAAACTGTCATACTGGTGGTACAAAATTTCTCTATCATTTTCATACATAGCACTATTTTTCTCTTATGTCTTTCAGGTTTTTAGACGAAGGTAATTTCCTGACTTGGGGTATACCTCCACCCAATGGCCAAGTATAATATAGACATCAGGGAAACTCCACTGGCAGGTTGCCAGGCTCCAGTGTGGCCAAGAGATGAGGAGATGGAGGAGGGGTCTGAAGGCGGCAGCACCACACAGCCTCGCAGAGTGAGGAGGCTAAGTCCTTTGAGTGGTCTCAGAAGAGTGATAAGGGGGCTATGTAATGATGAAAGGGTCCAGTAACCCTTTCTTTGGTGATAAATTTGTGGCAAGAAAAATAGTCTTAAAATATCCCTAGCAAAGCTTTAGAAACAGGCATTTTCTCCATTATTTCTTCGTCATAAAGCCAGAGACCTGATTTAGTGACAGCAATTTGGTACCAAAGAAACTGAATGTATAAAACAGAGTGTCCCCTTTCATTGCCATTTTTTTTCCCTCAGAATGATTCAGAGATTTAAATTACTGTCCCCAAAAAAGAATCTTTTATATAATAGAATAAAATACTGCCATGAACATTATTGGTCAAATATAAAGCAGAAAATAAGCAGAGTGATATTTAGTTGAGCTGTCAGTGGTGGTTCTCAGTGCTTATTAGGTGATAATCGACTGTCCAAGCACTTAAAGCCAATGTCTTCTGTACTTACATTCTAGTTGGCATATATCATATAAAAGAGATTGAAAGAGACCATTTACATTTAAATGAATGCAGAACTAGTAGCTAACAATACTCAAAATACATCAAAATTGGCAACAAACTTCAAGTTAGAATTTTGAAGACTAGAGTGAATATTAAAGTGTGAACATGAAGATGAACATCCTCAAGTTACATAAGTAAATCAGTTCATACACTCTAACTTCAAAAGTTTCTTAAGCTAATTTTAAAATCAGGCTCTAGGATAGTCATCATGGTCTAGCTGAGATTTTCACATAGAAGTGTTTCTCAGTCATATTTCATTTTCTTTTTCTAAAGTTACAGGGGCTGTTTCCCAATTAGTGAAGTATTTTCAAATATATTTCTTTTCTGTTCCAAAATATCTTTTCACTCTTTGAACAAAAATTGGTCAAAACTCTTAAAGGAAACAATAAAATGATAAAATACTTGTTGAAAAGTAATGGCTACAAGAGAATTCTTACAAAATTTGCATTTTATTTTTTCTTGAATTTAAAAACATTTCCTAAATGCATTAAATAAAGTATAAGCACTGCTGGTTATTTTTTTTTTAAATCAGAAAAAGACTACAATTAATATAGAATTACTTAAAACAATCAAGTTAAGTTCCATATAGATAACAGGCAAAAGAAAAATCATGCATTTGAAATAGCAATATTTTTATCATTAAACATCTTAAAAACAAAATATCTCTAAATTAATGAGATGAAAAGTTGGTTCGTAAGTGAAGCTTTTGTTTTATTGTTTGTGATTTTCAAGTTGTATACTGCCTCCACCTAGAGGTTTAAGACTCACATATCAGTTTGGGTTTCTGTGTTATCTGTAGCAGTTCCAACGATTGAGAACAAGAAATGAAAAGGGTGAAACAGAAAGAAAAAAAAAAACACTTAAAATCACTTAGCTCATATTTTTCTGTCTGTTCCTAGGAGAACGTGGCCTCCTTACCAGGTTTTGATATTATTATAACTACGTGTACCTTAACTACAGGCATTCTTTGGGCTAACATACTCGTGATGGGGTAGTCTCTTCTTCAGTTAAATGTTTCAAATAGAAAAATTTTCCCATTCACTTTTGCATTTGGTTGCGTTAAAAAAAATAAGCAAACTTTTTAGAGTTTCAGATACTTAGTAGGTCAATGTCCTGTACAATCCTTTTCCACTGAAAATAAGTCCTCAGAACACTTAAGACTCATAAAGACCGTGGATAAAGGGATGGCACTTAAACATCACGCCTGAAATGAAGAGATCAAACACAGCGGCTCACCTGGCTGGGTCCCACATCAGGAAAACGAGCAGCAGAGACCTCACTTTGCAGGTGCTCAAAATCGTCTTCATCTTCCTTGTTTGCGAAGCTATGGATGAAAAACAAAATAAAATTAAAATTGTCCTCAGTCCTACTGTGCAAGTAACCCAAAAGAATGGCATTGCGATTGGGAGGGGGTGTTACTCCCTTCTTCTAGGTTTAGGGCTAGATGACTAAAGGAAGAGGATTTTTTTTTCTTAATGGCAAGATGACATTACTAATCTTCCTCTTTATTTTCGCCCCTCCAGTAACTTCCCCCAGCCCGATCCTGTGCAAACACTTTGCTATGCACACATGAACTGACGACACCTAGGACTCTAAACTGACACATGAGCTTGTGAAGGAATAGACTGGAGTAGTGAGTGGGAAAGAGGTAGAGAGATGGACACTCCGTGCCTCGTGCCTCGCCCTCTCAAGGAAGACCACCTCCGCAACCACAGCAGGAAAAGCTGGCAGCCAGTAGCCTACTTTTCAATTAATGTCTTTTCCTTACAGTGAATTGCGGTCCTCCTGTCTTCACTTTCCTCAACAACACCCCTTCCCCCCCCCCAAAAAAAAAAAAAAAAAGAAAATCAAATCCAAATCATTCTTCCTGCCCATCCACATTTGCCCACATCCATGTTCGGAGGCAGCAGAGTGGGAATCAAGTGCTGCGAACTATGCGTTTGACAGCTGCTCTGGAGCCAAGACTACCAAAAGAGTGTGGGGCTCAGAATCAGACACCAAGCATGCAGGCAGCGCAGCCACAGCTTGCAAAGTTGGGGACTGTAAAAGAGCCCGGCCAGCGTGCTACCAACAGACTGGCCCTTGGATTTTTTATTGTAGTTGCAAAGACGTTTCTGGGGAGGGACAGTGGAATTAGATTTTGGAGGCTGGGAGCAGAGGAGAACCTGAGCTTCCTTTTCGAGAGAGCATGAAGAGTGGAGTGGGCTGGGGGTTGGGGGTGGCATGCTGGCGAAGCAGAGGAGAATGGGCAAAGGTCCCCCGCTGCCACCAACAACATCTGACTCCGTACCTGAACAGCAAGCAGAAGCAGATGTTTTCCTCCAGCGGTTCTGATTCTGAGAAGACAGAAAACTTGAGAGGAAGAGAGAGAAAGAGAAAGAGAGAGGGAGAGAGAGAAGGAGAACGACTGCAGCAACCTAAAGAGCAGGCAGAGAAGAGATGGGCTGGTGGAAGCTGGAACAGAGCAAAAGGAACCGTGGCCGCGCGAGGAGTAGGCGGCGAAGGCGTCCGTAGTGGCGGTGATGGGCGGAGGAGGAGGAGGAGGAGGAAGAGGAGGAGGGAGTAGCGATGGCAGGAGCCGGGGGTGGGGGCTCGGAGGCGTGATGCGCGCAGGCAGCGGCGAGCACGAGCCCCGCGCCTGGAGGAGGAGCCAGCCTGAGGAGGAGGACTAACAAGGTTCTGGGGAACGGGGGACCTCCACCCCCAACCTCAATCCTAGCCAAGGGACCTCCGCCTTCAGGGCACCTGGAGCAGCACAGCCAGGGAGGCGCGGGGCACCCCAGTGCGCCTGGGAGCGCCGCTGCCCGCGCCCACACCACACTGGAGGAGTGGAGCCCACGCCCCGCCCGGAACTGCTCTCCGGAGGCAGTGAGCTTCCCGGTGTGTGGGTTAGGGGGCCGCTGCTGGTGAGTGTGGGTGCTGAACCGTGAGTGGTATGCGTTTGTGAGGCCCTAGGTCCCGCGGGCTGCTCCCTGCCGCTGGCCCCCTGACATCATCCCTGGTGGAGAGATGTGGTTGCCTGGAAGAGGTAACGGTGTATGGCTCCCACTGGAGGGCGAAGGGGCTAATCACGCCTTTACTTAGTCATCAGCGTATCCACGCAGGACCAAGTTAAACGCATGGTACGTGGAATTACACAGCAGGAAGTTTCTTTGATTTTCTTCTTCTTCTTCTTTTTTTAGCCCTCGCCATGTACCTCTCATTCTTCGGCGCTCTCACAATCAGGACCAATTTCCCTTCAAGCTAGGAAGCGTGGAGAGTTGCCTACAGCGGGTCAGTGAAGGCCCTGTGCTGACCTTAGAGGTCAGCAAACCTCCTGCCTACTTTGAGCAGTGCTTTTCCCTGATCTCTTTGTCCAGGCATTCTCCTTACCTACTGATCAAGATTCAATCTAAGAGCTATAAAAAGTTTACATTAGCCCGGAGCAAAGAAACCCTCTGCTGCCTTTCCACTGCCTTCTGCAGACAGTGGAGAGATGGAGTAGTTTGAGGTTTTTCCCTTGAGGGCTTTTTCTTGCAAGAGACTTGTAATTCCAATCCCATCATACACTTTAAGAATTCTGTGTCTGATCTGTCTGATTTATTTATTTATTTATTTTGCGTTTTATCTGGGGCGATAAAATCCAACAGTGCAAATTGAACAGAAAAAGAAAAGAGAAACATGAAAAAGAAAGGGGAGAGATTTTTTTTTTTTTTTTTACTCTGCACCTGAGACTGAATCTTACGTACATTCTACTCAGGCAAATCATGTTATTTTACATTCAGAGTCAGTGTGCCAAATATGTAATTTTGGTTGTTGGACACCAAAAAAAAATTCAGATGGTTTTTGCTAAATGGTGCAGTCTTCCTAACAGACAGTGCTAATCTACAGTAAAAATTGGCTTTGCTTTCAATATTCTGGGAGTAGAGGAGAAACTTTAACAATGGAAATATTTCAGGCTGTTCATTTTAACCCCAAAGCCACCACTTTGCCAATGAGCATTTAATATCGCATAACTGTGTTCTCATTTAGCTAGCCATATGAAGAAAGGAGCAACATGCAGCCTTCTCCCCCTCCGTCATTAATATTCCTTTCCTGACTTGCCCAATGCGGAGTCTAATTGAAATTCACAAAGATAAAAAGGCATGCCATTTAAAGCCTTGCAAGCAGGGAATCTAGTCTTTTACTTGGTGAGAACACTCTACTTCCTACTGCCCCTTCCTGTTCCATCTCTGTGTGACTGCTACTGTTAAGAACTCTCTCACTAGGCCATTTACATCACCACTAAACTGTTTATATTTTGACCAATGCAGCCATATTTGCCATGACCCTACAAAAATCTACCTTTTATGAACCTCAATCTGTGTAAGTATGTTCACATACTATTCTAATGTTTGCTTGCCACTATTTTTTTTTTCTCTTGAATCCGATATGGAAAAATAGGTTCTGATTCTAATTGCTTGTTTCTGTTTTAAAATGTTTACCAACTGAAATGATTTGTTCAAAAAACAAAACATCAGCTTTGTTAACTCCCTGGTTAAACTAGAAAGCTCAATGACATATGCTATGCATTTGAGAAACTTCATAAAGTTCAAACAGGCTGTTCGGAGTAATTTCTTTTTGACCACTTAGTTTCTTTGAAGGCATATGTTGAAACAGTTCAAAGATTTGGATACACATTTACTGGACCTAGAGTAAAACTTGATTTTTTTTTTTTTAAGTCATAAAATTCTGATTTTTGGTATTTCCCCCAGAAAATGTTTTATGATTTCTATTGATGCTGGTTAACTATGATTTACACTTCAAAGCACATTAAAGGAATTGAAAATCAGAAACGCTGATGGCGGATAACAGTCATCTGCCTCAAAGCTATATTCAGACAGATATCTTGCTGCAGTCCTAGGATTGTCCAATATCCTCAAGCATCTGAATACAGCCTGGTTTCCTCTCTGCTCTCTATGGTAGAGTGTGGGTTAACTGCCTGAACTTTGAGAGCCTGGCCTGGGGTTGGTGACTAAGCTTTTCCTACCCACTTCCTTTGGAACATATCCTGAAGAAGATGACCCTGAAAATGAGAGCTAATTTGTTGCCAGTAAGTCCATTCCCATCCATGTTTGGCCAGTGCAGAAACTCCTGAGTTGAACCCGTTTGATTTATTTGTCCAAATTGGATTGGAGCAAGAGGAGGAGTTACAACATCCAAGGCCATGAGAAGTCCAAAAATAAAAGAAATCACAAGGCTTTGGAGACCTTTCCTTTATGTTACATTTTTTTTTTAATTTTGTCTCATAGTATTGTGTAATTTTAAAATTTGTTACGAAAACTGATGCTCTATTTCTACGTACCAGGTTGGGCACTGCTACTTGAAACCCTCTGCACGCCTAGAGGGCATCACAGTGCTTGAAGCTTTCTGGAAGAAAGGAAACTGTATGCAAGTGTATGCACTCGTAAGTGGACATAAAGAACGTATTGTGGGAGCTTCCTTTTACAGGATAGGGCAGCCAGTGGAGAAGAAACTGGTACATTTGCAGAGTGTAAGAGATTCTAGAGTGCTTGGCTATAAACAGGCCAGCTGTATAACAACTTTCCTCTCAAGTCTCAGGGAACATCACAAAAAGAGAGCGGAAAGACTGTGAGAGCCGGTAATAATGGAAATCTACAGCAAGACTATTTTCTGTACAGGACAAGTCCATTGCACACATAAATTCGCAATAATTGTAACTGCATACATGCACAAGGCCTGCACAGACAAAATGCTGGCATGTGTTTAGGAGGGGCTCATGACATGGAAACATTCTTGACAGTTGATAGCTGCTTGGGATGGAGATTAACTTGTCTTCAGGGACTGGACACCAAAGCAGCTACTAACAAATGCTCCCACATGCAAGTACATACAGACAAGCACAAATTCTGTCGGTTAAAAAGAATAAAAGAGTATATGAAGTCGGGAGGGGAAATTAAAGAGAGACATTGTGGGGGAATCAGAGGGTAGGAAAAAGGAGTGGAGTTGATCAAAATATATTACATGCAGGTATGAAATTCCCAAACAATTTTTCAAATTTTATGAAAAGAAAATATATGAATTTTAAAACAAGGTTTGTGTGATACAGAATAAGTATCTGAATAGATAAAATTAATAACATTGCTACAAACTTTAGTTTTCCATTTGATTTTCCATACTTCAAAATAATAAACTAGAATTGCTTTATTAAGACTAACACCTCATCCTATGTAAACATGTTGAACTTGTTAGTGTAAAATAAAGTTTTATTCAAATAAGGGTTTGTGGCCTGGTGAAATGGTTCATTCAACAGTGACAACAACCTGCTACTAAGACTGAGGCCTTAAGTTTCATTTTCCAGGTTCAAATGACAAAAAAGAGAAAAACAGCTCCTCCATGTGCACATCATGATGTTTCCTTCCCCCAAATAAGTAATTGTTTCTTTAAAACAGATAGACAGACAAATAGATAGATAGATAGATAGATAGATAGATAGATAGATGCCCACAAATCCCCTAGTGAGTACACAAAGTTGTTTAAAATATTATATACTTCTTTACATGAATACCTTAATAATAACCAAATATGCTTTGAGTATAAGTCTGTTTTCTCATATTCACAAAGTTAGAAAAACCAAAACAGAGAAATGAAAAAAAAAAAAAAAAAAAAAAAAAAAACTGGAGCAAACACCCATTTGGCAATTCTCAAGTCAAAATTGTAGCTTGATCAAACTCTATTTTCCTTGAAAGCTGTATTTAGATGGATGGTTAGACTCCAAGATTCTAAAAGAAAAACAGCTGTAAAGTGGGAGTAACTAGTTTTCTAAAGAAATAAACTCTAAGCTCCTCTCTTACTCTAATGTATCTGGGTCACATTTCATTAGAGCTAAATGTATCATGGTATACTAGAGAGATTAAGCAATAGACATTACTTCTTTCAAAGAGAGTCAGTAAATATTTGTAAATTAGTTTTACAAATTCGTATCCAGTTCACAAATTGGATATATGGAGCATTCGGTGAACACTGGTCGTTTCTGATATTTTTAAAGCTTCACATAATTAGACACATACAGAATAGTTTGTGAGAAATTCATTGCTTCCTTTTTGTGAAATTATCAATAGATTTCTTTTCAGTTTATTCAACTGCTCCTAAATCACAAATAGCACTTCAATAATTCAGCCCAAAAATTCCTAGAAAATTGAACTATGAATTTTGATCAGTGGCATGCGACTACACCACCAACAGCCTATGCTAATGAAAGTAATGAACTTACAAGAATTCCGTCTGTGTAACAGTTTATTCTATAAATAACTTTATATATGAACACATGCATTCTTCCAAATTAAAAGTTAAGCTTTTATTAGCCCCACTATGCTGATAAGAATACTCTGAGTTTGAATTATATATATATATATATATATATATATATATATATATAATTTGTTCTTTCTAATAGTATATGTATATATATATATATATATATGTATATATATATACATATATATATATACTATAGAAAGAGTAGAGAGAGAAGAAAAAGCAAATAAAACCCCACGATGAGGCTAAGAATATTTCATCATCAATCAGACACATGCAACATAAAATAGAAATAAATTGTTTCTAAGATAAAACAAAATAATCCCATGGTAAGTTAATTATAGATGTCAAATGATTTCAAGTATAGATCATCATCCTTGGAACCTCATTGTATTTGCCAGAGTGATTTGCTCATAGATGCTCTTAAATAATTGCTGACCTTTGTAGATTTAAGTCTTTCAGAATACGGACCAGGAGACTTGATGCCAGTATTAAAGATGACATGACATTGAGTGGTTCCCTTTGTAATATATGCTAGTGATACCCAAAATTCGATTCTAAAAGCTCACTGGTCATCACTGCTTAGATATCTATTGTTATTTTCAAAATGTTCCACT